ACATGTCAAACTGACCATACTTTGGACAATACTGGTGCTGGCATCAGTCAAAAGAGTCGGGAGCAGTGGATAATTTTCAGACTGTCCTGGGGAGCATCCAGCTCAGATTCCCAAACATACATGTTATGCTGAGCATGTCAGCCTAGCAGCAGCAATACAACAAACATTTCAATGCACATACCTAGTAAACCTGAATGCCCCAAGTTTAGTGCACACTGTATAACCACAGGTCGGTGCTAGCCTCTGCGCAGACAGTTAATGCTCCAAGGATTTCACATCGGAAAAACTGTTAACTTCAGGTAAAAATGCTATGCTATTTTCCATGACAAATTAATGAATATTGAACACAAGGAACACCAGCATCAGTTCGCCGATGTCACAGGCGTCCGGCGCAGTGGATCCTTTCTACATGGCTTTACCTGTTGGAAATCACAAACTTTCCTGCGTGCACATTACACCAGTATCACGTGCACAACTTTTAAAATAGATATGTCTATTCAACCGACCACGTGCACCTCTATGCCGACTCCGGGCAAATTCTAGACAATAGCATTTGTGTACAGCGGGGAACTAAATGTCACAAAACCTTCACAACCGTATATGAACAATTTGGAAGTAGTACTGCCATATAAAATATACAGAATCCCGCGCCATCACCAATAAAAATAGCAGGCGTCGAGGATCGCAAATTTCGCAAATACGAGAAATAGGTTATGCCTTACCCTACACAGGAGCGGATCCAGAGTGAACGGGGAGAGATAGGAGGGGGGGGGGACACTGGGCAATGCCCTCTTGTGCTTCAAAGAGGCACACAGGCCCCGAATGCCGACCAATGCCGACAGAGCCGACCAAACAGACGCAATTTCTTCTAACATGAGACGTAACAATATGGGACGTGTTAAGCGGCTTCCAGGCGACCAAGAAGAGTCACAAACGGATGTGAAGGGCCCAAGAGAAGACAAGAGTGATTCTTCACTGATTAAATGGGTGGTGACTGGGAAGTTTTAAGGCCCCTTACACTGCTCAGAGGCCATACGCTGTTGCTGGAGGTCCCTTGTGTCCACTTACAGGGCCAATCCGATCGTTAAGGAGCCGTCTAAGTTGTCCTTATTTTTTTGCATTGGCTCGAAGGGCCCCGCGTTGCTGCTGGCATTCTTCCTGCTAGCGAACCGGGCACTCCTGTAAATCAGGGCCTTCCACGGATGTTTCCCATTCAACCTAAAGTCCTATCCGCCCTACTCCCAACGCATTATACATTATTGTATATTTTATACATTATATATTATATGCAAATACAATACAATAATCTGCCTGCCAAGATGTCTTCGGTTGTTCAGCGGCATTCATGCTGGCCTCAGTAAACGTATCGACACACTCACGATACGCCCATGGCCCTCCATATTGGTCCAGGGCTCCTCCAGTTCTCTGTCACTTGTTTAGGGCCCTACGCTCTTGTCGGGGGCCCACCTGTGAATTTGTTTGGGCACGCTCGGTCGTTCGGGGCCCTTCAGGCTGGGACTTGGGTTCTCTCGTTTTGAATGCAGGGCCCCGCATTTCTGTCGGGGGCCATCTGATAGCCTGTTCGGTTACACTCGATCTTTCGGGGCCCCCCACACTAGGTTTTGGGTACTCTTATTTGAATGAAGGGCCCCGCGCTCTCGCCGTGGGCCCTATCTGATTACCTGCCAGGACACACTCGGTCGTTCGGGGCCCCCTACATTGGGTCTTGGGTAATTCTTACTTGAATGGAAGGCCCTATGCTCTAACCGGGGCCCCATCTGTTCGCCTGCTCCGGCGCACTCCGCCGTTCGGGGGCCCTCTACATTTTGCCTTGGGCCCATCCTATTGAATGGAAGGCCCTACATACTTGTCGGGAGCCCTGTCTGTTCACCTCGGGCACACTGGGTTGTTCGGAGACCCATTGCGTTCTTAATGTAGGGCCCTACGCTCCTCTCGGGAGCCATCTGATAGCCTGCTTGGGTACACTCGATCTTTGGGGGTTTCCCACATTGGATCTTAGGTACTTCATATTTGAATGGAGGGTTAAACGCTCTCATGGGGGCCGCTTCTAATAGCCTGCCCAATACGTTCGATCGTTCTGGGGCCATCTTCATTGCGTCGTCTCACTCCCTTTTACGGAGCACCAGCGACTGCAGAGGCTAAATAACGCACAGAGACCATGGCGCAACTGGGGAGGGGTTAAACCTAGGCCCCTCACGTGGGAGCCAAAGGCGATAACTACCCGTCCATTGCGTACCCTTACATCGCCTTGCCTTGCGTTCCCTCAGCTATCCTCTTTAGCTAATTCGAGGTGGATGGTAGGAATAGTTCTATACAACGAAGACAACGCAAATTTCTCAGTCATCCTGGATTTTTGTATTCCAACAAGCCGCGTGTCCAGCACGTGGCGTAGGAATGTATGCCAGGAGGGGGGGGGGGGGGGAGGGATAGTTCGCCCGAGCAATTGGAGAGTTCAGTACTATTGACCTCATGGTATTACAGACAAATGAACCGAAATCCGTTTCTTTCCTTGCCTAACGTCTTGAAAGCTGCGTAGGCCCTAAATGCTGTGTAAAACGCAATCAAGTTTTGTTCTACCACGCGCCATCTCTGTAGAATCGACATGCTTCGGAATTGCTGCAGTACATGGTTTGCTAAGCGGTGCCGTGTTTCACAACAGCTTGCTGCACTGCGTGTCAGACGTAGGCGGCAAAAAACACATGTTCGTGTGTTGCTGCACCACGATTTAACGTAAGCTGATCCATTCGGTAATCCGAAACGCAATCTTTCTTGATAATTTATTGGCGGCTCTTGCAAGCGATTACCAACCAGCATTCCAAACATCATCCTGACGAGACCACTTCGTTCAAAGGACATGCCCAAAACAGGGACCAAATAACATGATCAAGACATATTAGTCATGGAGCGGTTTGGTGGAAGGGCCTGCGGAACTTGTCATGGATCACAATCTCATCAGTATGACATAATTACGCGTCAAGATATTCAACAAATTTGCTCCAAGTGTTCCGAAAGTTTTATTAACTCAGAGTCTGCGCTAACAGGGTGCGTCTTTTCGACTTGGCGAAAACAACAACAAACTATTATAGTCTGCCGTCCTTTCCGTAAGTATACACGAATTGTCGCACACTTCACAATATAGTCCATTCTCCGCTCACGTTCACTGGGCCTTGAAAGACTACCACGGTCCAAGACCAGAGGTCTTGACAGCCATCCGTCAACGTTTCAGAAAATTGCCATACATAATCAACGCACATTGCCCACCAGCACTCGGCCTTCTCGATTGCAAACAAATGCAAACTACATCCGCGAGGCCGAATTCCCCGCGAGCGAACCTCGCCCCCGACAGCGGGTGGTCACAGTCGCACCAGCACCAGAGCTGTGGCTGACACGACCACGCTCCACTACAGACCGGACCGCGGTGACCCGCGCCGGCGGCGCAGCTGTGGCGAACACGGCGCGCCACGCTCGACCGTCAGCTACAATAAATACTGGAGAGAGCGCCGAGGCGGGCGCAGGCCGACTCAGGTGCTGCCAGCCGTCTGCGGATCGAAAACAACGCGACGGTCAGGCAAGAACACCACAGTTACAGCGTACTCGTGGACTGTGACGCAGGCATTCGCATTCGTACGCAGACGGGACTACGCATGTGACAATCGCAAACATGTGACGCTACGGTCCAGAGAACTGAGTCATGTGTGACAAACTGACCTTACCACTATTCCCATGTAATACGCTTAATCCTTTGGGAGAATCCAAAAACCCACACGAAAGAACACTGACAATCATTCAGGAAGTGTTTTGGTGTACCTTCAAAACTACAGCACACACATATCTCCACCTGGCGGTCACGGCCCCGTGCCGGCCATCAGCAAGGTAAACATCGCCGTCACTGCAGTGCAAAGTCGGGAAGCGATGAGGTAAAGCTAACCACGGAAATGGTCGGAGGTGGCGCACTGGGGATTCACGAGTCACAGTACAAATATGATCAGCGGGAACACAAAAAACGAGCCAAGGAGAAACGTCGGAAACGGAACAGAGAACGCGTTGTGGGAAACAAGCGGTAAACGGCAGTCTGAACAATGCCGGCATGTATGAACCCAGCTCAAACCCCAGCGGCGACCTTACTGACGGTGCGTGGGTGGCTGACCCGTGTCATCTGGATGACCTGTCTGAAAACACCCCGTACTACGCAGCACAGAGCAGGAAAAAGCACTACCGCTAACCTGGACACGGGGGTCTTAGCCCCGGGCTACGCGCCACTGGGCAGCGTAAACATGACCCCCACAATCACAGAGCAGTGTGTGTGTGAACAAACGTGAGCCGTGTATGACACTGGCCTGGAGTTACATGACACCAAGTGGCTCGGCCAATGTCGATTTAGCGCCTGAGTTCCGTGTCTGTGACCCTGGTCATGCACAGGGCGGCGCTGAGCGGCCGGACGGTGTCGATCTGGCACCCAAGCCGTGTACATATGCCCCTGACCTTGTAAAGAGAGGCGCTGAGCGGCAGGGCGGTGTCGATCTGGCGTTCCAGCCGCTCCAGGCGGGCGGCCAGCGCCAGCAGCTGGCCCAGCTCGGCGCCGGCCGTGGCTCCCGGCAGCAGGCCGTACACGAGCGCGGCCAGGCCACCCAGCGCCGGCTTGGAGTCCAGCTCGCGGCTCCAGTCCGGCATCACCTGCGGCACGCCGGGCCACCGGCCGTGAGAGAGGCGGCACGGCAGCTGGAGGGCCCGCTGCGGCTGGTCACCGCGTGCGCGCACACCAGCTGATGACACGCAGCGGGCTCACGAGTGTTCACACAAAGGTGAATGTGCGCCAAAAATGAGCGTATTTTGCCCACACCGGTCCCGCAAACTAGGCGGACTGGCCCACACCCTCGAACTAACCAGCTTGTTGGCATACCTTGTCGGCAATGTGCGTGTGGATCTTCCCATCGCCACCCACTTGGAATATGGAGTAGCCGTCATACCAACTGAAAGTAAAAACAGAACGATTAGCGGGCCTGGAACTGCATTTTTTATTCAGCACTTCGGTACGGCTTTCCTGCGGGGAGCTTCCAGAACTTGGACTACATCAAATTTCAAACATTTTCGATGGACGAAAAACTCACTCCACGCCGTGCTCGTCAATGCTGTTCTGGAGCTTAAAGATGTTGAATTTCCAGAACATCAACATGGACTTGAGGGCGCTGACTCCGCGGATCCTCCAGCGGATGCGGATAGAGTCGTCCTCAGGATGCGCCGAGCTCTGCAGCACTTGCAGCGTCACGTAGCTGAACTTGATGTGGCCCACTATCCGCAGCAAGGCGCACTGCTTGATGTACGGCACTATTCCCCTGCAACGAGAGTGGCACGTCACACGGCGACCGGCCGCCCACCACGCGAGATCTCCAGCCACGGCGAACGGGGAATTACACATACTACTCGTTTTCGAAACATGCTTGCATCCCCGATAATGAACGCCAGCGCTGCTGAAAGGACGCATAACAGGTTCTATCGTGCTGCAATGAGGAGGAACATGAGCGTCACGAGATTTAACAGCTTTTATGGATTTGATCCCTCGCTTTCATCTTTTTAAACATCTGATTTGATCTGGCAGGATGCGTAACCATGCGCACCACAGGCATGTCACCACTTACACCGATTTCGTTCCACGTATTCTGTTGTCGAAGACAAGGTCCTTGTGGTAGATTGAGAAGTCTTGCGTCATGACAAAAATGCGCGGGAGCTGGAACAGCAGGAAGCTGATTGAATGGATCTAACCGTGGTCGAGGACAGTCCTGCCAACGTTTCAAACAGCGCGTGGCAAAACAATAATGCTGAGCAGTGACGATCAACGAGGCCGTGCAACCGGTGTGCGCAAGACCACATTGGATCATGGCCAGGCATAAAACGCACAGGCCACGAAACCCTCTTGTCATAAGGTCACAGCTCATCGGGGAAGTGACGTAACTTTAGGTCCAGAACAGACGCATGAAAACCACGGCATTATTACCTAAAATGCTATACTGAACAAATGTTAAAAAATTCGATTAAAAAACACAAGCTTAACAGGAAACAACACAACGCGCAGAGGCCCTGGGCAAGAGCCGCGTCGGTCGCCGCTCCGGGCAGGAGCGGACAGTAGTCCGTCAGCAGGCGTACGCCTGGCCGCCCAGAGGGCTTGACAGCCACCCCCGACTCACGTTCTGCAGCAGGTTGGCCTCGACGGCGCGCAACTGGTCGGGGTTGGGCCGGTCAGGGAGGCGCTCGGCCGGCGGCGGCCGCTCCGCCGGCCTGTCGGCGCCGCTGAGAGTGTGGCCGTCGGCCGGCGGCAGCGGCAGGCTGAAGGCCCGCCGCTCGCAGGCGCTGAGCGAGCCGGCGCGCAGCTGCCGCCAGTCGCCGGTGGTCTGCAGCGCGTGCGCCGCTTCCAGCGCCGCCAGCTGCAGCTGCAGCCGCGCCACGTGCTGCACCACGTGCTGCGGCGGCGCTGGCGCCGGCAGCCGCGCCTCGGCCGCCGCCAGCGCCGGCGTGCTCAAGCAGAGCGAGCCGTATGGTCGCACACGCCCTGCCAGCGCGGCCACGGCCGCAGGCGGCGGCGGCCCCTGCCGGCAACCGCCCGCAGTCACGCGACGAACAGAACGTAACAACGATCGACGCTGTTCGCGTGCCTTTGGAAGAAAAGCTGAATATGGGCATGGGGAGGGTGACCATGACGCAACTTAAACACATGAGAAAAATGAAACATAGAACGCAACTATGGGGCTCACCTGTTTTAAACGGAAAGCAACAGGGAATGTTCCACATTTGAAGATATTGAGGCAAGCATCACATGTGATGCAACAAGCTCACTTATAACTATAGCCATACTCAAACGAAGAAAAGACTGCCCAAGACAACACGATTGCTCTGTTTAGTAAATATGCTATTCGAAACGTCATTGTTTGATTCCGCTATCGCACCTTGCACAACATTGATTGCGAGCCAGTTGACGGCCATCATATCTGGAAATCGTGCTCACGACCGCCAGATGTAAAGGACTCGACCATATCTTTCTCGGCCCTCATCATGGCATGGCTTATGAAATGGCGGGATTCAAATAGCGTAATTATGCCGTCGTGAATGCCAAGGTGGCCTTGAAAGCTCTCCCCTATTTTGGGGGCGAGTGAACGGCTCAGGAGCTAGAGGAGTTGAGGTCTTAGGAAGGGCAGGACCGTGGACTGCACCGAAAGGTCTTCAAGACGCCTATTTCAGTTCAAAACCCCATAAAAATATAGAACATTCCATTTAAGGAAGCTGCCCAAAAGAGGGGAGCAGGATGACTTGAGGTGGGGGAGACTGCAGCTCCTGCGAAGAGATAGTCCTGCTCCAGGTCTATACTATATGAGGTACTACGTCTTGCACACTTTCTTCCACCCGCAATCACGGCGCCATCTTACCATGCAGTTGAGGCCCCCCAAATCCCTAAGAACTACCTAGCCAAGCTATCTGGCACGTAAGATTTACAAATGGTGATTTTTTGCAAGAAACATGTCTTATAGACACATAACTTCATCACTTGTTGGTGAACTATTCGTAGCTTAACACAATGAAAGCTGGTAGAGATAAGCAGAGCAAATGTTACCATCTGGTACATTGGCTGGTGCCCCGACCTCTCAGACAATCAAATTCAGCCATCATTTTTCTGACCCATTAGATTTGAGCTCACAGCCTAAAAGCTTGTTTCTGGTGGGTTCTCTGCTCGTGCTGAATACAAAACAGCAAAAACAAACTAAAAGAACACAATTTGCATCAGGAAGGTACACTAGTGCAATGAAAGTCACCAATGCAACTCGTACAAATTAGGTTTTTCTGTGCAGCATTCAACCATTACGACTCCTTTCGGACTCTGTCTATCTGATTTTCAGACCATCCAGAACAATCCAGCAGAGGAAACTCTCTAAAACACCCAAAGCCACATACTGATCACTCATGCTGTGATCATGCCAGATAATGCAAAAATAAATGGAACGCACCTCGTATTATCATACAAATGAATTTAGAATACTTTCCATAACTTGGTTTTACGAAACTGCGGCCCAGGACATCGCTGTCCTTGCTCTTGAGTTTGCACGAGAGCATATTCAAACCTTTTGATGTAATTTGTTTCACTAATAGATTATGCACAGGACTAAACGCGGCAAAGGCAAACATGGGATGACCTTGTTCGTGTTTGAAATAATTTCTACCCACTCTATTTAACAATAATGACATCTCTCATTTTCCTCCGGCCAAGTGACTGCTTTACTAGACCACTAGGGGCACATTTCTGTTTCTGGTCAAGAGCTGAAGGGTCCTTCCGTCTCCTCGCGGGGTGTACTCGGGCTGCCATGCTAGCGACACTGGGCGGAATCCCCTGGCCGATCCGAATGCCCTTAGAGGGATGCATCCATCACATTGTTCCCCTCCTTGACACGGAAGGCCGTCTGAGCCGCGCCGTTGGCTCCAGATCAGCACAGGAACCCTCATGGACGCAACAACGTCCCTGATCGCCGTTGGTGGTCAGGTGGTCAGGTGGTCAGATGGTCCAGGGGGTCAGATAATCCAGGTGGTCAGGTGGTAAGATGGTCCAGATGGTCCAATAATTGTCACCCAGACTCCAGTTCCTGATTTTTACTGTGTTCTTCAGAGATATTGACGATGCCCTGAACATCGACTGTAGATGGAAATGGGGTTCTGAATTTATATTGACCTGGCTAGCCCATGTTCATCTTAAAATGTTCAACATTCAGTCATACTTGATTATGACATAAAATTATGTGACACTGTTTTAAACATGCATGGTTGCACATCTTAGCGACAGCCTCCATGTCCAGTGTTGCAAACTCCATAGTATACGCGGCGTTGGCCCCGCGGATGTGACATCAGGTGATGACCAATGCTTAAATAAAAAAGATGACACATCTGGAGGAAAATGGTTGGTGAACTAGGTAAACCAGCATGCATGTTTAGGAGGTACAAACATAAGCTGAACACAACTTAAGTCTGAAAAAGTGGGAGGGCGAGTTAACAATGCTGGCCCCCCCACCTTGAAAAGTGTGTGTGTGTGGGGGGGGGGGGGGGGTAAAACCCTGCCCCCCTTTTCCTACACCCATGCAAAGTGTGTGTGTGTCATTGGGGCTTTACAACACATTCAGCCACTGAGGCTTGATGGCATCACCTGCCTCTCACCCTGGAAGGAAGAGCAGGCACCACAGGGAATCAAACCTGGTACCACTGGTGTCCCAGACAAGCACGCCACCACACCCACCACACACCACTACACCCACGCAAGGCATCATTTCAAAAACCATGTTGGTAAAACACTTGATCCACACACTCACACCACATTTCATACCTGGCTGTTTCTATGGATGAAATTCCACTCCAGTGTACCACATCTTGAGGCAAGTCCCAAAGGAAATTTGATGAGCTGTGATGTTTTGAAGCAATGTGACATCTCTGTAATTTCTCCTGGATAAGGGGAAGGGTTATATCAGTATTTGTAGTCAGCAGCATGCTACAACACACACTGCATCACTTGTATGCATGCATATTTCAGGGTATAATGCTTTCAATTCAAACAGAAGATTGTGCAAAATTATGAGAAGTACAGCAGTTATCAGTTTTTTCAAAACCCAGTTTTCTACAAAACAAGCGACTCATAGCAGTCTGTCGCTTTATCAGATACTTCCTGTCCCTGGCATGCCATGTGCATGCATGATATTCATGCTAATATATTGAGTTCTCTATTGTAGCCTGTATAGCCAGATAAATGCTGGCCATTTTTCCATTTAAATGAAAAAGGATAAATCATTACTGGGAAACCTCAAAATTCCGCAACATTACTATTTGGCTAACACTTTGCTTCAGTAGCCTTGAGGGTTACAGGATGTATGAAATGTACAATCAAGTGGCCAGGTTGTCATTGCTCTGTGAATACATCTACCAAAATATTAACTTTCATAAGTTACCTAACTTGGCTTACAGCCCGTATGAATAAAACTTGGAACAAGCAGCAGTAGTCCCTGCCTTCACACAAATTTTAGGAGCTTTAAACTTGTCACTGTTGTACATTACCAATACTCCCAAAGTATTTCTAGCCATCAAGAAGGGTAGAAATATCAAGTATTATGCCAAAATTGAAAACAAAATCATGATCTGTTTTTATTAAATTTTGTGGATGCACTATGGCAATACTAACATGTTTCAACTTAAAAGGACAAAGCCCATTACAAAATTGGTTTGTGTGTTGAATGCAGAGTTGCATAAGATATATTTATTGATTTTGTTTCTCCCAGTATGGTTTTTTGATATTACCACTTTGGAAGGTTTTGGTCTCAATTAAGGCCTTACCAGATTTAAGCTGTACAAATAATACTTCATGATGGCAGTAAGGTCATATCTAAGGGAGAACAGCCACAGGGGCAAGTTCCCCCCCCCCATATCAAATTTTGGGCATGCAATTAGATGCACATGAATGGATAATGATACCATCAAACTGAGGTTAACATAAAAAAATAGCTAGCATGACATGTTTATCTGTACATACAAACCAACTGTGGACCTAGACATACAATGTGATTCTCAGAGCAAACATTTGAGATGTGCCCTGCTCTAAATTCTAAAATCCTTTCAGTGCTACAGCCCCTCCAGCTCAGATCTAAAATATAAAGCTTACAACAAAGTTGTCCCACCCAGCAAGAACATCCT